TTAAAAAATGTGTGACGTTTTGGAGACATCGAGCGATTGTCCCAATTGGTTGTTTTCTTCGAAATCATCCCAAAAGAGTTGCTCATTACGTATACTCATTACGTATGCTCGTCGACGAGAACGCTACGATTCCCTACGGAAAAGTTTTAACCGTTAATCCAGACCAATGGAATAATTTAGACGCATATGTGGACAAAGGCGATTCTACTGTTCCTTTAGCCTTTTCTTTCAATTGAAAATTGGAAAATTGAACGAACTTACAGTGAAGTTCGATTGCAATTATGCTGTCTCGTCCGAATGGATATAATGTAGTCGCGCTCCGTCGTGTTACTTTTAACAGGCCTCTTAAAAGCTTCTTAAAACGGCAAATGGATGGCGCTCTCGCTGTACTGGCCGTTGCGTGCATCGCGATCGTCATTAGTTCAAAGCTGACAAATCTTGTGCAAAGAACGGGGGATTGGGAGTATCGATCCGGACGAGACAGAATAATTGCAATCGAACTTCACTGTAAGTTCGTTCAATTTTCCAATTATGCAAGGTCTCATCCATATGGATATAATGTAGTTGTTCAAAGCTAAGATTTGTCAAAAGGATAATAAATGATGAATTAAACATTTATTCGAAATCTCTTGAATATTTAAAAAAGCGTAGAATTAGAAACTAGTCACAAAATCAACATTCCAAGTTACAAATATAATTACAAACCGCAACAAGTTAGTTGAACCGCTACAGGTTCAAGACCGATAATTAAGGACCCGACCTTTGAAAGGTCGGGTCCTTAATTATCGATCTGTTATAAAACCGTGTAAAAACCGTCGAGGTTTTACTCCAGCAAGCGGTACGACGAATCTCATTTATGTCATTTATGCCTTTACTGGCGGCGAGAGAAGTCGAGGCGTGACGAGTAGAATGAGCAGAGAAAGCTGACACGTCGACACCTGCTGTGGCAAGCATCGCTTTAACCCATCGACCTAACGTTTGGGAAGATACTGACTTATGCGGCTTCTGATATGAAATAAAAAATGAAGTGCACTCGTCGGAACGAAGGCCCTGAGTACGCTCTAAATAAGTTTTTCTAACGAAAAAACGCAAAGCTCTAGTTTGTATAAAAACGGTTTGAAGATAAGGAGAGGCTGAGGTTTGCCAATCCCCGAAATTTTGAGCCGAGCCGGAACTTTAATAACTAAGGAATCGGAAATTGCAATGTTGAAACATTGGATGGATGCGAGGATTTGCATCCTTTGAGCTTATTTCTCTTGTCCATAGGAATTGAGATGGAACATTTCTGTGTGTCAAAAATAAACCGTAGAAACCTACATAATCTTGCTGGAATTAAAACACTTTTCTGTTTGTTGATAACAAATCTTAATGTGGACAAGAGACGAAGCGTGATGGCAATATTTACCGTAATGATCGTAAGACTGCGCTATGAGGAGAAAATTATCTAAGTACACAACAGAGACAAAACCTCTCTCTCTAAGAGAATGCACTATTGGCTTTAAAATTTTGGTAAAAATATACGGCGCCGATGCTAAACCGAAAGGCAGGGCAGTAAATTGGTAGTACTGATTTCGAAAGCGGAAACGCAAGTATTTCCTATCCTCTGAACAAATAGGTAATAGGAGATATGCATCCTCCAAGTCTATCGAAGCAAGAAAGTCCCCAGGAGACAAAAGACAAACCGCCGTTTTCCAGTCCTCGAGCTTGAAATGCGGAGCCTCTATAAAACTGTTAAGGTTCTTTAAATTGAGAATAAATCTCCTGCCTCCTGAAGATTTCTCAATTATGAAAAAAGAGGATAGGAATTGACCTGCGCAGTCAGACACCGGTTCAAACGCTCTTTTTGTAAGCAGTCGAGTGATTTCCTGCCCGAAAATCTCCTACTCTCTCTTAGACATCTGCACAATGCACTGGAGCGGTGGAGAATTGGTAAAGGATAATCGATACCCAGAAATGGCCACCAGAGTTACTTGATTCGTGGTAATGTCTCGCCAACGAGACAAGAAGCGCGCCAGCCTGCCGGCGAGGTTCGTTATCTATGTTCTCCTCGACCGAGATCTGGAACGGTCGCGACGGCCGAATGGGACTCGATGAATGTGTGACGACGCCCCTGGCCTCCGTGTCGTCGAAGGCTTCATTGGAGCAGCAGCCATGGGTTTCCCGAAGGGCCGGCGGAAGGAGCAACGTGTAGCGGATGTTTGAAGGGCTGCTGAACCCTCCGAGATATGGACAAAGGAGTTTTGACGATGTCCTTGCAAGACCTTTCCAGAGTGGCCGCTTTTTTCATTTCTTCCCCAAAGGCTGCGCCGAAGAGAAGATCATTGGCCGGAATAACATCGACCGTGGTTTTCGCAAGTGGTTAAATTGAGGGCAGGCAGTATCTGAGCTCGCTTGGATAAGGAAAGGCGATGAAAGAGGTCCGCCAGAATGATCATTTTGCTCCGTCATTGAGCTTGGATACCGCAAAGCATGCCTCAGGAGAGAGTGAGTGCTAAATCGTAGGTTTGAGAAACTCTGATAATGGCTCGCCGAGAGCGCACAGGGCAGTTCCAGCTTGAGCCTGGTCCTTAATATTGTATTCATCCCTCTTCAGGATAGAATTGCTCTTCAAATCCGACCGAAACTCGGGATTTAACTGAGGCGCTTTGAGAAAAAACAAATCCTCCGAAGGGGCATATTTTTTGAACAACGCATCACGTTTGCTCTGCGGGGAGATCCTTTCTAGTAAGGTCGTGCCATCTGTCAGCGACTAAGTCGTGCCAAAGTAGCACATCCACCTTCTCGATATCTGAGGCAAAGAGCTCCCGAACGAGTGGGACACTCGGGGGCCGAGGATCATTCGACGCAATAGCCTCCGTGCTAGGAGGGGACTCAAAGATCACATTACCTTTATTGACCGAACCTACAACGCAGACCGAGTCTGCCTTACATCACATTATCTTTATTGACCGAACCTACATCGCAAACCCTCGATAGGCTGTGTGATTTTTCCGTCTATATTCCGCAAATATAGCCCCGGAAAGCACGTACACACCTGAGTCATTCTGGACTACGGGCCCTTCCAGTCGTGCAGGCGCTACTCTTGATGATTCATTCGGCGGCAGATCAAGCGCCGATATTGGGAAAAATCCTGACCCGAAGGTGAAGATACTCCGTAGATGTTCTGCAAAGCCAAAGAGGGGGAAGGAGATGGACGCCGGGGCGTCCTCTCTATGTTCGAGCACGTCAATCAAACGTGCTACCTTGTCCTCCAGGCTAGCTAACCGATCAGGAGATGCCGACTTCTTCCTCTTCTTGGATTTATGGGATTTACCCATTTTACCTGCAAGGGACTCGAATACTAAGCAAAAAACGAAGGAGATTGTTCACGAGGCTGTTGAGAAACGAAGCAACAGGAACACAATGACGATCGCGGCGCGCGTAACGGCCAGTATAGCGAAGGCGCCATCCATTTGCCGTTTTAAGAAGCTTTTAAGAGACTTGTTGGAAGCAACGCGACGGAGCGCGATTACATTATATCCATATGGACGAGACCTTGCATAATTACCCGCTCTACGTGCACGATACTTGTTTGCTGTGTCATCGAAGTCAAGTTATTCAAGTAGTTCATGCATTTTTTAATTATAATTTAATAATAATTTACTTATCTGCATATATAAGATATATTGAAGCATAAAATATAATATAATATATTATTTTAATGAAAAATTAAACGCATCATATCAAATCAAATATACAAGGCATACAGAGTGTCTCAGAACAATCTTCTAATCTCTCGTGGAAATATAGTACGGATTAAGGTAAACATAAAAGTTCTATACCGTTTTTCGATATTCGCAATAATTACTGAGATATTAATTAAAGAAAATTTGTGAATGATCACGCGAGATATGGCATATAAACTATAGTGATATCTGCTGTCATGTACATTAGGTCAAGATGTCTTGAACAAAATGCCCTAAACCATTTTTCTAATAACTTTGTCGATTTTTAATTATTAATTAAAGAAAATTGGATGCTTACTAGCCATAATATGTTGTTATTTAATTAATAACTAAAAATCTACAAAGTTATGAAAATAGTAGAAAATTCTTTATATTTAGTTTGACCTAATATATAAGTACATAATGGCAGACGTCGCCATTACAGTTTATTTATATTTCACGTGATTACTCACAAATTTTGTTCAATTAATAAATAGATAATTTTTTCGAATTTTTTCACAAAACAATATAGGATTTTTGTGTTCACCTCAATCCATATTATGCCTCCACGAGAGCTTCAAAAGTTATTCTGGAACACCATATGAATCTCGTATATACAATATCTCGTATATGAATCTCGTATATAGAAGGTGTCTCAGCTCGATTTTACAATTTCTCGTGAGAGCATAAAGTGGATCGAGGTGAACACAAAAAGTACTACGGCGATATTTGCAATAACAATCGAGATATTAATTAAAGAAGATTTGTAAATCAAGAACATAAATAATTAAAAATCTACGTGGCTATTTATAATTAAAAATAATTATAAATAAATATAATTAATAATATTTTTAAAGTGGTATTTTATAAGAATAAGTAAAATGGATTTTATGATTAGTTTGATCTAATATAAGCACACAACAATGTAGACGTTGCTACTACAGCTTATCTACTATATCATACGTCCTCATCTACAAATCTTTTACAATTAATATCTAGATCATTATTGCGATTTTCGCAAAGCGGTATTTAATTTTTTGTTTATCTCAATTCGATTTACGTTCTCACGAGATATTGTAAAACCGAGTTGAAATATCTTGTATATTAATGGATATATTAGAATGTATAGATACGCCTCCCGTACATGGGCAACTACTTTTTTAGAGCGAATACACACTTTTCTTGCAGATAAAAGAATAAGTATAGGGTATAGAATACTTGCGCTCGCTAAAAAACGAAAATCTTTGAATCATGAGACGATTTGGTGTTATTTCTATCTATATTTATTAACAACGTGATATTGACGCATACGGAAAAAATATTCATCACATTTTGTCGCAAACGCGCGATTATTTTTTAATAGATTACAGTCGCTCAATAATAACGGTTATGTAATAAGCGTTGTCGTAAATGCGATAAACATTATTTGAGAGGAGTTACTCTTTGCGATCCGTTACGGTCAGCAGTACCGACAAGTAACCGAGTGAGGTTTTCACGATCTGAAATAAGATTATAGCAATATAAGATAAAAAGCAATATAAAATATTTATTTGTAATGCATGCTAAATCGCAATATTTGTCATGCCAGGATAACGGAAGCTGAATTAAAAAACAATAATAAAAACAATAAAACTTAATAAATTAAAAAATATAAAGAAAGAAAAGAAGGATTTTTAAAGTTGATTATATTCTAGATAAAAATATTTTCCTGAATTTTTTAAAATTTATGATTATTAATAGAAAAAGGAGACCTCAAATTGTTTAATTAATTTTTTTAAATATATCTGTCATAAAAGTTGATAATAGTAATGCGACGAAACTTATTTTATTTAACGTTAAATTTGATTTACCTTGCTAAATAGTTGCAAAGAAAATACGCCGAAATTTCCCGCGGTTAAAGAAAGCGGGATTGTGGATCTGCGCATGATAAAGAGGAGACTTCTCGCTTCCTTTCCTGGTACGTTAAACCAGTTGGATTCATACGCGGACAAGCTTATCTCGGTACTCTAAAACATTATTATTGAGTCATTTTGTCACCACTGAATGCAATAAAGTTAAATTTAATTCACAAACGGAACTTTTTGACTGAGACAGTACTTGATATTTAATGTATAAGTATATATGATCTCTCTCTTATAAAGTACTCTTCTCATTTTTATAATGTGATCTATTTCTAGTTTTCAAAAGGTAAGGAAAATATTATAATTATTAATTGTTAGAGTGGAAAAATTATAACATTTTTTTATTCATATTTTTATTACGTAGGCATATTCTTCATTCTGCTATGTCGTTGTGCTCGCGCCAAATCGATAAAAGTAATCAATAATATCCTATTCATACACCTGCGTACAAGAAGAAAGATAGGAAATGACAAAAAATATCGATCCTTGAATGTTGTATACGATAAGTTGATGGGAAGTGTCATAACTGGTTGTGAGGTTCAACTTGAATTCGATTAGAATTACTGATTTTGCTTATTGTTATCGTTCCAGGATTATTTTATGAAATTTTCTTTAAAAATGCAGACCAAACGTTAAGGTTAAAAAGGAGTCGAATTTTCTTTTCCGTAACTTTATTATTTTAATAATATGTTTAAAGTATTTTAATTTCAAACCAAATATAAAGCTTAAAAGTATCGAATTACCTTACAAAAAATATTACTTTAGAGCGTTATATTGATCTTACTTCTCCACTTTCAATATAGAGGATAGTCTATATAATTCTTTCAATACAAATTATTTTTATAATAGTTATTTTTTAAAAACAAGATATCTCAAAAATCAGCTTGATATCTCAGAAATTAAGAAATTATAGAAATGTATTTCTAATAAAAATTATAGGACATCGAGGGAGAAAAAAAAATAGAAATATTTATTGGACTTTAGAATGACGTTGAACATCTCTGTCAAGATCAACTTTAATTTTTTAACTGGAATCATATTTTTTTTCGACATGAATCGCTTTCTCTGGTCATTATGCGTACAAAAGCATTGGTATAAAATTATTAAAAATTAAATGCTTTCAGAGATATTTTACATTTCATTCTGTTATTATTCAATACAAAATATCAGATATCTCATAAACCATTAATTACCTGAATACTTTAGTATGTAGAATGACAAGAGAAATTGATTGGTGATATTAATTTTTGTGCGTCAATAAATTTGTAAAATGCACAGAATTTTACATAAAGTTTCCAGTGTTTTATTTTACAAGAATTGATTTTATCGGTTATTTACTGGTCAAAAAGTGAATAATCTACGAGATATTTCATATCTTGTTTTTGAAAAATAATTACTATAAAAATAATTTGTACTCAAATAAAAAGGATAAAGCTTTTTAAGGTTTTATTTTAAGATCAAATAAACATTACTATCTTTTTCTCTCTCGATTCCCTATAACTTTTGTTGGAAATATTTTTTATACTTTTTTTTAATTTCGAAGATATCGAGCTGTGAAAAGTTAAATGAGACACTTATATATCATTGTGTGATATTAAAGGGTTAATTTATTCAATTTTCAAGAAGAATAAATAAATTTTCTGTTTAATCTTTAGAAGTCCTCTCTAAAAGAAATATTAATCCTTACAAATGGTTAGGATATCTCGAAAATGAAACTCAGAAACTAAAATTGACTTCAAGAGATCTCGATAATCGAGGATTAAATTTGTGTGCGTTAATCCTTAGAACTCTTATTCCATCATGAGTGTCACGAATTACGGAAACCAATGCCAGCACACCAACAAATTACAATATTACTTATAAACGACAAGCGAGAGTACGTAAGTAGCGTTATTATAACATATGATATATTTATATGAAAATATCTTACCTGCACGAGCAACATCTCGCCGACATAACAATAAACATATAAGTGGATTAAGACAAAAGTTACAAAACTAACTAGAAAAATTAATTGGAAGGTCGGTGACTCGTCTCCGTCATTTATTAATGTCTGAAAAATTTCTCTAATATGTTGATTGTTAGATATTATTATTTCTATGATATCATAAACCGAATGTAAATTGATATGATATTGTTATATATTATTTCTATGCTATCATAAACTGAATGTAAACTGATAATTAAAAAAATAATAGAGTACAAGGCATACACTTCAAACAAATTTGTATAATAGAAAAAAATTTATTATTTTATATGGTTTGTAAGATATTGAACAAAACGTAAAACAAGTAGACTAATCGAAGCTAAGTGAGGGATGCAATTTTCAAAATTTGTTCGCCAAGATAAAATCAGAATGAGTGTATGTGATAACAAAATCATGAAAACATCGATAAAAATATCTTGCAAGATAACATAAAAATATAAAAAAATTTATAATGAAATTTATAAATATCTCAGATTGCATCACTCACATTGAAAACCTGGAAACCTTGAAAGCACAATTGAACAGTACAAGAAAGTATTTGGAATAAGAACACCATATTGAAAGTGTCTTCAATCCTTTTTGCAAACCTTAAAACATTAATATTTTTTATTGAAAATTAGCAAAGACAACTTCACGACACAGAAAAGAGAAAAAAGAAGAAAAACATTCTCTCTTACGTTCTATTGATCGCAAATTACGAACCAATTCAAATGCTCGTGTCTCTTCACAATTTGCGCTAGCTCATTTCTGAAGTCCTCGGTCGTTTTCACTCCGCCCGAGTCGTCGACGAGATTCTTTAGTCTCCCTCGCAAATTCTGAAACTGACCACAGACGTGAAGCACCAACATAGAGATGAAACTGTCGCTGCCAGTGTAGATCACAGTCCCGCTGTAAGCCGACAGGATCTGACATATGCAGATCAATTCGAAGACGGGACTTCGGGTGATGTCGAAGGGAAAATAGGCTGTGTATATCATAAGGCGGGTGGAATTGTTTCGTTGTAATTTGACGATCGTCGAGATTCTAAGTATAATGTACATAGTCAGCATAGTCTGCGTAAGCACCGTGCACCAGATAGATATTTTCCGGACGACCGAGGCATTCCTCAGCATGGTTGTCCTTTCATAAGAAGTTTTCGATGCGTGCCAATCTTGGTAGAAGTACTCGACCAGTTGCTTCAAGACTTTAGAAAAACATTTTATTTTGCATGTCTAGACGAAAATATTCATTTCCTTTCTTTCTACGAAAACATAATTTCCTGTTCGAATCATTTCATTAAATTCATTAAATAAAACTTCACCTTTCGCGTAATCGTATTTTGCTTTTGACATTACAACGCCTTGCCTAATATTAAATAATGAAATAATAAGTAATTCATATGATAATAACATTAATCTTTACAAGTAGTTTATATTATTACAGTAAGAACTTTAAAAATAAAGATTAAATTCAATTGATTCTGTTATACGTAGAGTTAAATTCCTTAAAAAAAATTGTTATTCTAATTTCACGACAAATTTATGATAAATTTTGCAAATGCTGAGATAATCAATAACAAATTGAAACTAATAGTAACTAATAAAAATCAAGACAATGAAGTTGAAAATGAACCCATAAAAGTTGCTTTTTTAGTATTACATTATTTAGATTTTACGAAATTTTTCATACATCCAAGTAATATTCTTCGCGTTTGTACCTTTTCTATGACGCCACATAGTGACGGCTTTTATGAAAGCGTTTGCCATTGGGATGTTGGCGGTCGCCAAATTCTCGGTCATCATGTCCACGTTGCCCCAAATAAAGAACAGGTTCACCAATTGTGGTATACACATGAAACTCAGCATGAAGAAGCTGGCTGTCAGAAAACGAAGTTGGGAGAGCCCGCCTCTTTTGCCG